GTACCATTGTTTTATCACAATGCGAGAAATAGACAATCATTTATGCAGATTTTTCATTATTTAATTTCTTCAAATATAATGCAGGACTCTAACATTTTGTGGCAACAGTTTGAAAAGTGAACCGACGTTTATGAGTCCGACGCAAAATGCCAAAACGAAAGCAATAGTCCTTCGGGACTGAAATCCCTTTGGACTAATAAAAATAAATAAACCTATGTTCAGTTGTATTCCTATAGCACGATAAGTTAATTTCTCATTTCTGAGCTGAATAATCATGTTTTTAACATCCAACTCCTTCGACTTCGAAGCCACTTTATAACAGTATTGGCAAAATAACGTTTTAAAAAGTTTCGAAGTAGCACTGCAGTCTTTATACTAACACGGTTTCTTATCAGTCTAAACACGTGACCTCAACATAACAAAATTTGCATAGCAGTTAGAACTTTGCCAACACATTTTGACATGCAAATTTACGTTTTTATTGTATATTTTGTGTAAAAGGCATATTAAAATGAGTTTTGTTAGATTTTTGGGTTTGTTACCGCCCGTGTTCGTTATGCCGAGTTAAAATTGTCGGTTTTTAGCTAATATAGTAATTTTCGGTAATTGCCAATATTTTTTCCCACTGTAATTCTGTATACACCAAAAAGCATCCGTTATTTTCTAAGGGCTACATTTCTCAGAATTTGAATTTCAAAGAAATTTATTTTTGCAATACGTCTCCATATGAGGGTGGCTTAAAGTAAGGCTGGATGGATTATCGTTTAGTGCGAAAATTCTCGGTGAATTTCCTCAGGTCATCAAATTTTCATCAAAATTTCTTATCTCTGAACATTGTCAAGCATCTAAATACTACCCCCCCCCAAAAAAAAACCCGTTGTGTATTGCTCAACAATAGCACTAATAAAGACTTTACTCAAAGGCGCCAAGTTTTAGATAATGTGTGTAGTAGTGTTCACTTTTATTTACCATGTCTGGGATTCTAACGTCACGTGCGTTCTAAACTAATTTACACGTGACGTTTACGTAAGTTGATGCAGATAAAACGGCTGCCTGGAATGTAAGAACTGCTTTCATCACTTATCGTGCAAGTTCAGTTAAAGTAAGATTTTTGTAAAACAGCAATTTGATACTTTGTAATTACAGTAGAATGTGGATTGTGCGAGATAACTAGAACCGTAATGACCTTGGATAATTGAATACTCGCTTAACAGTGATTTAAATTTCAAATCATACTAATTTTTCTTTGGATCCGATTTTCTGAAATTGTTAAAAATTCTAAAAGTAAGTGCACAAGTACTATTAACGTTTTACTGCACAAGTAGTTTCAGAAATCAAACAACAAAAGTTAATAACATACTGCACAAGTAGTATTAACATTTTTAAATTCTTTTAATTAGTAGATAACATTTTAGTTTCAAAAACAACCTATGCAAGATTTTATTTCATGATAAAAATAATAATCAAGGGAAAAACTAATTAACTCCATCAAAATTGCGCAAATCAAATTTCTTTATGCAATTTTGAGACATTTATTTGAAAGTTTGCTATTTTTAGTCCAAAGAGGCTTTGTCCCTGAAGGACTATTGCTTTGGTTTTGCGATTTTGCGTTGGTTCACTATAAATGTCCGTTTCACTTTTCAAACTGTTGCCACCAAATGTTAGAGCTCTGCATTATATTTGAAGAAATTAAATAATGAAAAATCAGCATAAATGTATATTTCTCGCATTGTGATAAAACAATGGTACATAGAGCCATCGAATTTTGAATGACGTAATCCTACTGCGAATGTGGGCGTATGCGGAAACCCAAATTTGAAATGTGTTTTATTATCGATTTCAGTTTCGTAAACAAACTTTTGATTTACAAACTCGAAGATTTCAAAGCGAGAAATGGCACCGTTGTACAGAAAAAAATTTTTATCCCCAGCGCGGGAGACTCTGTATCGGAAATTCTAAAGATACGCTCAATTTAAAACTATTTTGCGATATTGCTCTTGAACTGAATGTTATGGTTTAAGTGCGAAGAACGTGATATTCAATAAATAAAGGTAACAGACAAAATGTTAAAAAACGCCCCTTTAGACGTAATTTCAAATCTGAAACTTTCGGATTTTTTTTTTTTTTTTTCCCCCAGTGGTCTTCGCAGGCCACATGCGGCCGCCGAAGACATTATGTATTTGTTGCAATGATTTCAAAATTTTTGACATTTGGAATCCGAGTATATAATTCCATTAAAAACGAACATAGATAATACACCGTAAAATCTATAAATGGAGCTAATTAGCTTAAAATGTGATATAAATCTTATTCAGATTTGATAATTTTTTCGAGTTTGTCCAAAAATAAAAGCTTAGCTACGAACTATCGCAATAATCGTTTTGTTTGCGAATACATTTAAACTTGAAGCGCTATCTTTCTCATTTGAAAGTTAATTAAAAAAGGAACGTGATTGACCGATGGGCATCTGCAATCCGTGATGAAGATATTTCTAATAACTTATCTTCAAAGCTATAAACTTTATAGGAATTGAAATGCTATCAAGTGCTAAACTGACGTAAGAAATAATGAATTTTGTAATTATTTATGCCTCGAAGAAAAATGCGATAACTAAGAGTTAAAATTTCGCCCCATTTAAAAAAGCTTTTATTAAAGTTAAATTATTTAATGATTAATTAAACATGTTAGACTGATATTTCTTTCAAATAATTCTAAGACATTATTTAGCAGTCGGAATAATTTGAACAACAAAAATGTCTCGAGGTGCCAAAATTTACGATAGAAATTAAATTTGAATATTTTTCCTTTGCGATATATATTGTTTATGTATGCTTTGATTAAATATTTATAATTTTTTAACGAAATTGAAAATTTATTTTGTTAAAAAAATTTCTGCCCCATCAGCTACTTCGAGATCGTGCATTCGGCCCGCATGCAATTTGAGACCACTGAAATTAGGCTCTACATTTTGCTATTATATGCTAAGAAAGTTTGAAGTGTTCCATTTAGTTTTAAGAACTGGAAGCACTGCAAAAAGTGTATTCATCATAGTTCTGCTAAGATTTTTATATCATAATCTTTATATCGCGTAGTCAGCTGAGATTTTTGAGTACAAGATCGGTTTGTGCCCTATTTCAAGTTTTCCCAATTGAGGCATTTTTGAAAAATCGTCTCATTTCAGGGTCTTTCGGTGGGGGTAAACGGGAGGTATTCTCATTTCAGCCTTTCATTCGAAACTAAATTTAAAAGTACGGTAGAAGATCACGTGAAATATGTATGTAACGATCTCGCAATGATACTTGCCTTGGACTTCAAATAAAGTTTAAATTTTATTGCAACTGTAGACTAGAACATTGTCTAAAGGCAAAGGTTTAACTGTGGTATTACTGACGTTGATGTTACTTGTTACTTGCAATGATAAAATTTTAAGCTATTTCCTGATAAGCTATAGAGTTCTGATTTTGTTACACACACTGTTGATCGATGACAATACAATGTGGTGAAGCGATATATTTATTATAAAAGTCTGCTCAAATTTGTATGAAAATTATAATTTCTGAATTTTTGACAATTTTCATAAAATTGCTCTATTTTGTTGTAGACTGTTCGAGCTCTATGATTTTAAAATTTTAACATCTAGAAATGTATCGGATATAAATTTTGAGATTATGAAACAAAATTTTCCCCCTCTTTTAAAATAAGAATGATAAAATCGAGCTATTTCTAAATTTTGTTTTAAAGAAATGTCTTGTAGTCTGATGCAGGCGGGAGGAAAAAAGCGTTTTGATTTTGTCACCTTAGGGCATTTAATCTCGAATTGGCAATATTCGTTTTTTCATTTTAGCTTCAAGTAAAACGCTCGCTTTAACATTTATTGCTTGTTATTACATCTGATTTCTGAAACTAAATATTCAAAGCGATTTCTTTATTCTCTGAATGACATTCAATTATTCCTTTCATAATTTTCTCATAATTTATTGCTTGCGTTTTAATGACAAAAAAATTCATCATTGATAACGTGCAATTGAGTGTAAAAAAACAGAAAATCGAATATAATTAAATGAAAGCTTATAGTATAAAAAGCATTTTTAATTGCATTTTAATGATTACAGTTCATACTTAAGATATACTCACGTTGATTTTTAAAGAACAATGGCTTTTAAACATTTTCAGAAATATACAGTTTAAATGAAGCTAAAAAAATAGGAATCTGGCTAGTATAAAATTGTAGAGTTTCACTTGATCTGTTAGTCAATTAATGCAATAACCCCGAACAGATGTAAAGCGAATTATGTAGTCATAGTAGTCTGAAGTAGCTACTATGTCGTGGAAAGTTTTTTAATAACATTTTTATTTAAAAAGGAACATAAATGCAATTTCTTGTACTAAAAGTAATAAGCCACAGCTGATGCAACTAAACAGAACAGTCAAATTCAAGTTAAAACGTGGAATATACTAGTCAAGGACAATTTAAATATTCTCGAAGCTGGTTCAGTAATTCTTCTGTGAGCGTCAAATCAAGGGTCGGAAGATATATATAACACAAAGCCGAATAATTAAAGCTATCAGACCTGACAGGAGCTAAATGTGGCGTGCACATGTAGGCCTGAACATGCTCTGTCTGAAAATCCTAAACATTTCAATTTAAATGATAGTTATCTCATTTACATTCTGATGAGGAAACTGAAAGGAAAAGTTAGTTTATAACTGGTTAATTTTAAATAACATTACAAAATTTTAAAATGATTTTTTGTAGTTATATCTTTAAAGAAAATGAAAAGTGAAGAAAAGCTGAAGTGGGACAGTTTTTTGCTTTTATCTTGACCATCTGCAAAGCAAAATAAAGAGCACAATTTTTGTTGCCACCTCCAAAAAGCCTGAAGTGGGAAAGTCTAAAATGAGACGTTACAAGATCTAAAATCTTGTCGTTTCTAGCCAAATTATAAAATATAAATTATTATATATATATCTATATATATATATATCATATTCTTTGGTAGGTGACTGTCTACGATACATTTCGCTTTGGCATTGCTCCCCTTCTATCCCACATTCACGACAAAAATCTACATTTTGTGAAGGGAGACATACTTGACGAAGGACTGCTGTCGCAGAAGTTGAAGAATGTAGACGCTGTTGTCCATCTTGCAGCCATTGTCGGATATCCAGCCTGTGAGAAGGATCCCGATCTCGCACGCAAAGTGAACGAGGAAGGTACCAGGAACGTTGTCAACTGCTTGCATAATCACCAGAAGATAGTTTATTCTTCGACAGGATCGTGCTACGGAGCCGTGAAAGACATTTGTCATGAGGTAATTTAATGAGTTTTGAAAAGATTATTAATTTGTCTGGCTGTAACCTGGTTTTTTTATTTTACAGGCTCTCGTTTATGATGGCAACTAATTTCGTTGCGTTTTGATGAGTTAGTTGAATTCCTAACGGAGTCGGTATTGAATTTTATGAAATTTTAGACAGAGTCGAGGATGATCATAGGGTCGATAGCCGATTATACACAGGCCTAATCAAGATACCATTGCTTACAAAAGGATTTATAATTAAATGTTTATTAAAGAACGTAGAGGGGTGCAGACATGAAGTAAAGAATAGGCATATACATATAGCGACGTAGACGATAAGTACGTAGACATGTAGTAAGAAAGAAATCATATAGGATAAATATAAGGGGGAAGGTATACTGAAATTGTTTAATGTATATTAAACATTTTAAATATATAAACTTTTTATGCAACAACTTCAATATAAAAAAAGGTAAAACTAAAGTATGAAAAGAGGTTATAAGTATAAAAAAAGGAGCACAAGAAAAAGCAAGCTATTCCCAGTTCCGTAAAATTCGATATTTTCAGTAACTCTTCACCCTTTCGGTGCTTATATGAGGTAGTGTTTTCAGGCCTCTACTGTATTTAACAAGTTAATTCTAATAGATCTGCTACAGTGAAGTATAAAATGAAAGCAACAGCCATTTTTAGAAGGATGCATTTAATTTTTGAGATAACCAAAGTAGTTCTTTGACATCATTGCTGGAGTTCTTTTCGCAATGAAATTGTAGCACTTTTTGATTATCCTCACCCTTTCTAAAGTATTCATGAGACAACGCGATATATCGCCAAAATAAGCAACCCGTGGTGTTAAAATGTGTCTTCCAAACCAGATGTCCATGCACGTGGCAGATTTCCATTTTCAACAAGCGCATAAGAAAAAAAAAAAAAAAAACTGTCGAAACGAATGGAACTCTATTCACAGGCAAGAGAATACTTTATTTACAATCAGCGTAATAGATGGGAAAAGCTGTCTTTGTAATCCCCGTTAAAATTATCTACATATGGACCTTTCTCTGCCTATTACTACGAGAGAAGTACCTCTTCCTCAGACAACTGTATTTGTAGGGAAAAAATATCTCCAGAAAACTACTTCCTCAAGCCCATTAGCACAAGCACAACGCAACGTTCAGCAACTACCTACGAACTGGAGTTTCGAAGCTATATGATAAGTAAGCCAAAATTTCTTCAAAATCAACAATACTGTAAAGTACTTTTAGAACAAGGGCAAGATATTTTGTGAGCAATAACTGTTGCGGAAAAGGCTTTCTTAGTAGTATATGCATTCTTCTAAATATAAAATATTCTTCTAAATAATGAAAATGTATTGGAAGGTTTTCATGGAACGTTTGTAAACGCTTCACTTGATCAATAGAATCACGGGACAGTATCTGTATCACCATATGGTAAAGTTCTGGTGCTTCGTATGCTTATTCCTGTGTTGCAATTAGTGTTTGTTGCAATGAATGCTTTTTGTAAGGAGAAAGCTTTTTATTTCTTGCGAAATGTCACGTTATGCTTAAAAGGAATGCGAAAATTCATATTTCGTGATGTTGTACTTCCTAAACGATCTAAATTTAAGGATCAAATTTTGTGGGCAGATGCGGGATTTGTGCAATTCTCTGTTGCTTTTTTTAAAAAAAAAAAACTTCGCTGCTTACGTGCGAAGAACAGCTTGAAGAAAGCTGTTTGGTTATAGATGTTTCTTGCGTTTTTGTTTTTTTATTACCATTTTACGTATATTTTTTGAAAACTGCTGTTACCTTTTTCTTTTTATCTTGGCGAAAACTTAGACTACTTAAGTAATAGCGCAACCATCTTGGCGCAATATAACAACTTTTTATAGACAAAAAGGTAAGTTGCATATATTGCGGAAGTTGATGATTTTTGCGAGTTTCCCAAACTATCGATATTTAAGTCGGAAGACATTACCATCGTATGAAAACACAATATACTTTAGCAATTTAAAATGCACATTTTAATTACTAAATAAGGATTATGCGACATGTTAAAGAATAGAACACGCGCGTTCTTTACCAAATCTTTACTTTTTAGCGCTGTTTTTGAGCCCCAAGTACGCTGGATCTGTTTTCATTTTTAAAAAAAATCGGAATTAAAGAGACTCGTCATCTCGGAAATCCCGGTGTAATCGGCTGTATGCCATTCTCGCAAGTTCCACAGGCACGTATTTTAAAATTAAGGTAAAAAAAATATAATTTGTTTATAAAAACCGTTTTAACTTGAAATACAACGAAAGAGAACACGTACGAATATGGCGACGTTGCTGAACTAAGGAGCATTCCCTACTCGTCATGACCGATTTCGCTCAAATTTATAGGACAATGCAGGGCTTGGCTAGAAATGAAAGAACCCAAAGTGAGAACTCCAAATGGCCAAGAACTTAGAAAATAAAAATGTTGACCCGGCTCCCTCGCACCGTATAAGCTATTTACGTTAGCATGTTTGCCAAGCAGCAGTTGGCATAGCGGTATGAGCTCGGACTAATAATTCGATGGTCGGGGTTCGACTACCCGTGTGGAGACTTTTTTTTTTCCCTATCTTTTTCTCAATTTTTCTAAGTGAGTAAAGAGGTGAATACTTTATTTATACGCAAAAGGCATAGAAATGGTAATTTGGTAAATTTAGATTTCGGACTTTTGAACAAGGAATTGTAATTAAAGCGCATACGAAAAGACTTTGCACATGAAAATTCAAAAGTTTATTCATTGGCATTCGATGATTTACATATGTCGGGATGATATTTATGGTAGAAACAGGGGAATCGATAATTATTTCTGCATTTAGCACACGTTATAAACGCCGCATATAACCACATCGTTGTTTCAAAGTCTTCATGGAAAAACATACTTGATTTACATTCATAAAGCATTCTCTCTCATTTCAAAGTTTAGAAGCGAGCAATGCGTAATGTAACATGTTACCGAATATTGGCGCGGGTAATTGATGAACAATCGAGTGTATTTTATGCAGGCTTCTCGGGAAGTTATTCCTTTTCTTGCTCGATTAGGTAAGAGCAATTCTGTATTTTTTAAAAAGGTTTTAACCTGACTATAAAAATATACATCACAGGGTTGCACCAGTGGAGTACATTTAGGAGGAATTACTTTGATACTACACTTTGGCAATCCTTCATCTTGGAAGAGTTCGTCGCATAATTGCAGATTTCTTTGACCTCCCCACGAGTCGGTCAGCAGAAGAAATTTGTTCGCTTGTACGTACCACACAAATTTTGTGTACAATGGTGTTTTAAGTTTTCCAGACTTTGAAGAAGTGATGACGAGATTCTTGAATTTTGCTACGTATTCATCCACCGTTTTTTGAATCCTCGGTCCAAAAGAGCCAGTAATCTCTCGTAAGCATACGTAAACTTTTGCTAATAGCTTTTCGGAAAGGCTCATAGCATATTACGCGGTATACAAGTGGGTTACTTTGTTCATATCTTTTCTTTTTACCCCTAAATGTTCCAGGGTTCGGTGATACGTCGACTGGTACTGGCAACCTGAAAACAGAATGTACGTAAATTTGTTATACGTGCAGTTAAACAGAGTATTTCATTTGAGGTAGAAAAATAAGAATTCTTGACTTACCTGTTTGGTCAGTGTTGATAACAAAATCCTTGTCGTATTGAGGAATGAGAGCTCGAGTTTAGAGTCGGAACTATCTGCCGCAGCAAGCATTTCCTCTTGTGTAGCCATCTTTTCCGACACAAATCTTGTAATTTTCTTCTGATGAATCTTAAGCCTTTGTTTAAAGTCCATGACCCACAATTCGGAGGCTTTGAATTCCAACTCTGGAAATTGCCTGACATCAGCGAGTGCCCAATGTTGCAAGTTTCTTGTGGTGATCTGCTTGTTACAACATCGCGCTTCTACGAAGCGCTTCACGCGAGATGCTCCTTTCGTTTGAAAACTTTTTAAACTCCACGTTGCGCTTTGGCAAGATTGACCACCATTATTTTGTAGTCGAGTGGAACATAATCTGGATCCTCTTTCACTTTTTTTCATCTGTCTCATAATCATCACTTGACAATGGTCTGGCACCCTCCAACATTTGATATTCTTCTTGGTCGATTTCTTCGCGCCAGATCAACTCTTCGTCGCATATAAACTGATACTCCGATAAAACTTGCACTACTTTCTCGTGTACTTTATTTTCCATCTGAATAAGATTTTCGGTTATCACTTCAAAACTTTCTGATGAGATTAGATTTTCTTCGGCCTAAAGATGAAAACTATAATTCTCTTCAATCGTTGCTTCGACGCTTCGCTGTGGATGCTATCGATTCTCACACAATTCAAGTTACTTGGCCAGGAGCTAGCAAACGAATGAGCTCCCTAGCTAGCGTCATCGCTAACGGTCAGGGACATCTTTTTTCTACCTGCGCCAAGAATATATTGTTCGTGTACAGCCGCCAGGAGCGACCTTCAGGTGAAAACGAATCTTATTGTGAAACAACTATTCACGTTTATGGCACATTCCCCAAGGAGGAGGAAATATCCAATAAAGGAGAAAGAATTCCTGTGTGAGCACGTTGGAAAAGTTCCCACTTCCATCTGGTTCCTTGGCCATCTGGAGTTCCCACTTCGAGTACTTTCATTTCTAACCAAGCCCTGCATGCCCTATAAAGTTGAGCGAAGTCGGTGATGACGAGTAGTGAATGCCCCCTTGTAAGATTGTCATAAAAGTGGTTGCCAAAATTTGGAGAAGTCTACTAAGATTATTGTGGCAACACGTCAGTACCAAAATTAGTCACGAAGGTTTGGTGAGTTTCCGGGAGGAGAGTGCGGATAGTCAAAGTACCAAAATAGCGAATATACTTGGATTTCAGACATTTAATTATCCTTTTTATTTGACATAGGAGACATCTCTTTCGCCATTGACTCTCTACGGCGAAACCAAAGCGGAGGCCGAAAGAACGGTGTTGGATTATGGTGGTGTGTCTCTGCGACTTGCCACTTTGTTCGGCGTCTCACCACGCATGCGCCTCGATCTTTTGGTCAATGATCTCACTATGGAAGCTCTGACAAAGAAGAAATTCAACGTGTACCAAGATGAATTTCAAAGAACTTTTCTTCACGTTAGAGATGCGGCCCTAGCTTTCCTTCTTGCTTTAGACAATTACGCCAGCATGAAAGGTAAGTTCTTGTTTTGCTCTCTTCAACACTTTATCTGTTAAAATCGATCACATTTAAAACGTGTTTGCTTTTTAAATATTCGAATGATATTTATTTATGTCAAGTTACCAGATTAAACGCTTTTGGCAGCTTTTGAAGTCTCATCTTGATCTACAAAAGTTATCAATGTAGTTTATAGTATTGTTGCATGAGTATAGGTTCATAATGGATTGAATGCACACAGAACCGATGATTGCTTGATAAATCCATTTTACCAAAAGAAGCGCATCACAGAGCAGTTACCACTTCAAACAGCTAAGAACTCCAAACACAGCGCAATGCGAAACACAGCTTAAAAGATAAAGCTGCCATGGAGGCCTGTCAATATTCAGAACTCGCGCTGAACTAAACAACTGAGAACTGATGGCCTCTCTAGGCTTGTATAGTTTTCTCATGGGCCCCCTTAATCTCTAGTAAATTCTACTTCTCGAAATTACTGGAAGGCATATCCGGTAAAAGTTACATATAAGGACCAAATACGTTTATAGTTATATATAGGGATCAATTAGTTATTCAATTACATTTATACAGGGAAAGGAGAAAAATGTCCCCAAGTCGCCACGCTTGACGACTTTTGACTATTTCTTGCCAAATTTAGCAACAAAATTGGTCACTCAAACCATCCCCACGTTGGCAATTTCCTGCCAATTGAGCGAGATAGCTGTTTATCTCAGTGTTAAGTACACTTCCCTATTATTTCGCCAGAGGTTTGTTTTTTCAAGAATTTAATGTTACATCATAGAAAAAGTACTACAGATTCATATAATTTTGCTAAAATTGTTTACATATCTACAACATTTGTAACAGTATTGTACGTTCAAATTCTTGCACTAGGATACCTTGAATATTTAATGATGGAACTGAACCATCAAAATATTTCAAATATCTGCAGCAATCATTTGAAGAAAGCAGAATTTCAGTAAACCAGTGCTTACGAAATAACGTAACCATCTTAGTAGAACTCGTAAAATTTTTAGGATGTGCCAGACTCTTGACAACCATGCACAAAGCAGTTCTTCGGGTAACCATACTCTTAAATTATTCAGTCAACGTCGACATTTCCATATATGTTCTTCTCTTTCTTGTATTCTAAGTTCGAATGGTATGTATAGGCAAATCGTTTTTGTCTTAAACTCTTAAAAATTTACGCTTGTGGAATTTGCCTCCAGTGGAAGAAATTTTGATAAAATTTCTGCAGAAATATGTTTTGCTGCAAAATCGCTAAAAGAAAAATCTGTTGTGAGCATGGAATAAAAGAAATGCATATTAACAGAAAATTTACTAGAATTATGCATAATTGTTATAATTAACAGAATTATGAGAGAACAAATTATTAACAGAACAGATTAAACAAACAGAACTTTAAGTAAGAACGATTTCAAGTGAGGCCCACTTTTATACATTAGAATGTTCTGTAGATCACTTATCCTTGCCCCTTTTGAAAAGCAATTTTTTAGCATATATCACAACCAATGTGCATATGTTTTCAAAATATTAATTAAAATGAATAATTAATAGGAGAAAGTTGAATTAATTTATGTGCCAACAATAATATAGATTTCGGACCTTTGTTTCTGAGTTATGAAACCCCTTTCCCATGCAGATGTATAGAAGCAAACTATAATTTTTGAAGCATCATTATACTACGTTTTCCCATGTTCTGTTTTTCCTGGTCACAATTTCACAGGCACATATTATAAAATTGGGCTTAGCCTAAAACAATCACGATTTACGTATAAAAACCCTTCGAACATAGAGCCAAACCAAGTTTCCTCTCAGAACCATTTAATTTGACATGGGAATTAAGAAAATACAAAGAATTACCTGTAACAGTGAAAAGTTCAAAAAAAAATGGTATCTGAAGGATAATAAACCAGGAAAGTAAAACTATATCAGAGAAAAGTAAATCGATATTCTAGGGGGGGAGGGGGGGGAGACCGTAAGATCAGAAGGGAATAACGAGGGGGTCAGAAAATAAAGGGAAAAGGAGAGGGAAAAGAGAAAAGAAAAAAGGAGTTTGAAAGAAGAAAAGGAGAAGAAGGGAAGAACTAGCTAACAGGAATGAAGGAATGAAATGCAGGGGCTGAGAAAATAGGAAATACAAGGTTTGGGAGAGGCGGCAGAGTTGAAGCACACGTTAGAAGAAAATCGTCTGGTTAAGGTAGGCACGAAAATATATATTTAACGCATAGACAAGGTGCGAAACATTTGAAGTGCGAATAAATTGCCATTTCCACCCGAAAAATGCCCGAAGTTATCAAAGTTTACCCACTACGAGAAATTTTAAATGGAAAATTTAAATAATAAGAAAACCCGGCAAAAAAACCTAAATAAAATTATAAAAAAAAAGAAAAATAATTAGAAGTAAGGTGGGGGGGTTAAAAGGGGGAAAATGAATAGGGGGACGGGGAGGGAAAAGGGGGGGGTAAGGAGAGGGGGGAAGGGTAGAAGGAGGGGGAGGGGGGGATAAGGGGGGGTGTGAAGAGGAGTTTTAGGTGAAGCGGGGGACGGAGGGAAGAGCGTGGGGCGTTGATTGGCGGAGACAAGGAGAATCGTGGAGGTGCGGAGATAGGAGTGGGTCTAGAGGGGAAGAGAGGAACGGAGAGGCCTCTTCTTATCCGTGGGCACGCTCGTAAGGTAGATGACAAAAACATAGATCTGTGAAGTCACCTGTACTAAATAAGGACCAGAACAATAACAACAGAATAACAGATCGTCACGTTAGCAGATATAGGCAATTATGTGCAAAAATATCCACATAATAAAGATTCAAATTGTGGAACTAAGGACATTTCCGAAGAATAAAAAAGTAATTGACTAAGTACAGACTACCCCATAAAGACTAATCATTCGCTAACAGTATCTGTAACTAATATAGTTCTTTGAACTGTTGAAAATTTGCCCTAACAACTACTCGCAAGGTCTCCAATAACAGGAAGCACTTGTGTGTTTCAAGCCGAGGAAAAAAACTGATTTTGAAAGTAGAACCAAAGATAAATTCGATATAGCAATTTTTGGACGGGTTGAGAACTGCTTGCACATAGTAATGTCACAATGTGAAGCTTTTTCGGGTATGTTAAAGCCCTTATGCAGTATGAAATAAATATGGGCTCTGTTTGTGACCTAGTTTACGATTGTGAAGTGAGCAACGTGAGCCCTGCAATAAAAGATAGCCCTATCATAGTTTAGAACAAACTTGTGAACAGGAGAAATGCACCCTATTCCTTCTCTTTGAAAATATTAGAACTTTGGATCCCTTTTATATCTATTAACTAAGTATGGAAGAACCTGTGTACACTAAGGAACATCGCTTGTCCAGAAACTAATCTCATATTATTACACTAGTTGCTCAACTAAATGGTGGCAGGGCGGTCCTTTCTCAGGACGTACACAAAGCCTCCACTTGGGTTAAACTAAAAAAGTAGGCAATGGAATTTAACTAATGACTAAAGAGACTTAGCGAAGCTAACACAATTTCTAACTAGTTGACCCCTATATTAAATTTTAGTTACGAAGAACTACTCAAGGGCACTAATAAGTCGAGCGTAGTCACGGCTTAGAGACTTAGGCAAAGCGCGCGCTATTGGGAAATCTAATTCTCTTTCTATCTTCTAACCGAAGTCGATGGAACTTCAATTAAATACACTTTCTCATTTCATTTGACGTGCGATTCTAAAAGTTTCATATCCGGTCAGAAATTTTAAGCTTAAATTTAGAAGAGATGAAATGTGACAACTTAAAATAACTGTTATAACCTTAAGGTAACCTGACAGGACGGATCAAGCGAGTCTCGTTTTTTAAATAAGACGCGTTCATTTTGTCAAGGGATCTTCAGAGCCCATACAATTTTAGAAATTAAGAACTTTCTAAGATTTTTGATGTAAACTAAGTAAAAGGTCATTTTTCTAAAGGACTGGAAGGAACTCATTCTCAATTCTTAAATGAAAAATAATGGCAGTTTCCTAAAGTTTTAAGAAAGGTGAAATCCACTTAAAAGCAATAAAAGAGGAAATGGTTGAAGAGGCTTGCAGGTGAAAAAAAAAAGGAGAACGGCAGTTTTTGAATTTATTATTTGTACATTTTATGTAAAGTATTAAATGAAATAAAGTTTCAAAAATAATTAGAAAACAAATATATACTACTCTTGTCTACCGAAGTCGATGGAACTTCAAATTAAATACACTTTCTCATTTACATTTGACGCGATTCTAAAAGTTCATTCTGGTAAGAAATTGTAAGCTGAAATTAGAAGAGATAGAAAAGTGTGACAAACTTAAAATAACTGTTATAAACTTAAGGTAAACCTTACAGACGGATCAAGCGAGTCTCGTTTTAAGACGCGTTCATTTTGCAAGGGATAATTCAGAGCCCATAAATTTTAGAATTGAAGAAACATTTCTAAGATTTTATGTAAACTAAGTAAAAGGTCATTTTTCTAAAGGACTGAAGGAACTCATTCTCAATTTCTTAAATGAAAAATAAATTGCAGTTTCCTGAAAGTTTTAAGTGAAATCCACTTAAAAGCAATAAAAGAGGAAATGGTTGAAGAGCTGCAGGTGAAAAAAAAAAAGGATAACGGCAGGTTTTGAATTTATTATTTGTACATTTATATGTAAAGTATTAAATGAAATAAAGTTTCAAAAATATTAGAAAACAAATATATATCTACATAAAGCTTCGTAACGACTGCATAAATATCAAGAAACTACGAAATGAATTTTAACTTACTTTAGCAGAATCAAAACAAATGGAATATTTCAAAATTTCTAGCTAAGGGGGGGGAATATCATTTAAGAAAGACAGACTTTGACCCACCATATTCACCAAGTCGGAATCAAGGAGAAAAGTTTATAAAGTGCTTACTATCTATAACTGGTAAATACTCTAAACTTTATCTGGCCAAAATGCGTTACTTCATATCTCTATTGTGTGCTCTATCATGACATACGCATCGCCTGCTTGAGCTGCAGCAACTAAAAACGGTATGATGTCCAAACTGCACAGAGAGCATAGGAAAAAAGACCAAATTTGCATTATTGCGCCCAACTCTGGCAGCCATAGGCATAACAATTTTTTGTTTTTAACAAGAGGCGTCGCCATTTTGTACTTATTATTTTCGTTGTATTGCACGCTACAACAATTTCTATAGTGACATAAATGACTTTAAACTTCATTTGTGAAATTTCTTTGCAATAAAAAAGTTCTGTGCTTTCCGTAAAACTGCTGAAAGGCACGATTGCTTTGACTTTATTACTGATACAATCTCCACGAAATTCTTACCGAAACAAAAGTGACAAAAATCCTCTTGTAAGTGTGTATATTGAATTAATTTTGGAAAAATAGCTTAAGAAAATATAATAAATGCAATAATATGTGTGTATGTAATTTTTTTTCTATTGTAAATCCTTCTTTTCTTCAGACTTCAAGGTTGGTTGCTCTAATGAGCAAGTGCGGATCAGACAAGAGAACCTTTAGATTCCTTTAAATTGTATCTGAAATCATTTAAAGTTTACAGAAATCGCCTCGAATTGCTGGTTCACCCGAGTCAAAGGTCTCGTGTTCGCGTGGTTTTATATTGGATTGTATATACATTTTAAAACAAAAACAATTTTAAGATATTTTAACAACTTTATTTTTAAGCTTTCCCAAATTCTGCTTCCGATCAAGCATAACTAACAACTACTTTAAGTTATTTAAATTACATTAACGTAGCAACAGAAGATTGCTACATAAAGAAGTACAAATATGGCCTGTTTAAAGGCGCACGAGTTGCATTATTTTTTTACAGAGAGCGCAGAAGATTAAATGCAATGTTGTTAAAACAATGCACCTGTGAAGTGCCGATGCTGCTTGGCGAGGACAGAACTCGTGATCCTCGTACATGTAGCCAGATAATAATAAAATAGCTATTATTGACTCGGGTACTCTTTGTGGGCGAAAGTTTTGACACATTTTCTTTCTGGTATTTCATTCCACTTCAGCCATTATCTTCTATTTTACAACAGGTGCCGCTTTCAACGTTGGGGATGAATCTATGAATATGACGAAACTCGATGTGGCCAAGAAGATTCAGAGTCGTGTCCCTGGATGTAAAATAATTCCAGGTACAGGCGAAGACAAAGACCAAAGAAACTATAAGGTCTCCTATGCAAAAATTAAGAAGTTAAATTTCAAATCAAGGATCACAATGGACGAAGGGATATCTGAGTTGGTCAACATCTTACCTCTTATGACTTTGGAAGAAGTAAAGGCCAGCAGGAATGTTTGACATCTCTTCTAGAACTGGTTTTAGGATCTAAATAATTGTTTTTGGAAGTTTCCTTTGTAATTGCTTCGAAAGAAATGAAAAAGTGGAATTACTTTTGCATTCAATAGCAAAATTTTATCTGGACATTCTGAATTCTTTTTAGTGCAGTATTAAAATGGACTTTTAATAAAAATCATTAAAAACTTGATTATCTTTTCTCACCATTTTACAACTTATGTGGCTCACATTTGCTTTCATACACTTGCGTTTTTAAGATTTGTTTGCAAGTATGAGTCACTAAATATCCTGCTTGTTTTCGAAAAAGTTATTCCAAACGTTTTTGGCATTTATTCAAAGTTCTGAAAAAACTCAAGTATTCAAACTTCAAATATGCAGTTAATATTTTATAAAAACCCGAAAATAACGCGACATCCACATACTCAAGGATTTAACAAATATTTTTAGGTAAGAACGTTTCATTTTGTTCCATTCCTGCGCAAGAATTTCTCTTATTAGAGCTTTCGAAAAAATGCCATGTTTACTTGTTTTCCTCCCCTCCAAATGTAATAGGATTTAAGTCCGGAAAATTTTTGATAACTTCGAAACAAGACAATTTGTATAATAACTATAAACGAATATTTAGGGCTGTATATTTAGGATAGTATCCTGACAGAACTCGAGTGTATTTTGCCTTCTAACGTTTCTTGCAGCTGCTTTCAGATTTTCATTAAAAATTTTCATATAATATTTATACTAATATACATTATTTTTGATGAAATGTAAATTTCCTATTTCAGAGGCAACAAAATATATCGAAAGCATTATGCTTCCACATTCATACCTATCAGTAGGCAATAGGATTTCTGCATTCATTTTTTAATTTTCGCTTTCGCCTCGTAAATTCGTCCATTAGATCAGAGTATATTAAATTTTGAACAGTTTGCAAATATAAAATTATTTCAATATGCTAAATCTTTGCCCAGTATGGATTTTTGCGAAAGTCTGGCATATTTTCATTGTTAATGGGGAATTGTCCTGCGAATCGCTTATATTCATGTGTTCAAATGAGTTTTCTAACAGTTCCGTCGTTAACTTTTACTTAAATCCGCAGTAAGTTTAGCAGCACTAATATTTGGGTTTCGTGCGAATTTTTATAGGATAAATCTTGTGTTAGCTTGGAATGTGGTCCAGATTTCAGTGCATTTTGAAATGTTCCACACAATTCCCATTACATCAAAGATGGCTGAACGCTTTACATCAAGAAATTTGGAATATTTAGAACGCTTTTATCATTTTTAAAATCGTGAAGAATAAAATTTCGATCAAAACTGAATTTATAGCGTTTTGCCATGTTCACTTCAGGTACCGAACTGTTAATATATTTTGCAAAACAAGCAGTTTCCAAATGCAGACGATAAATAGTTTGATTATTTTCATTTAAAATAAAGGATATCAGGAAATCTAAGTCTTCCAAAATATTTCAACAAAACTTTCTAGTGTTCTATTAACGCTTTTCGAATAAATTATTGCAAAGAACATTTTGATATTTGTTTAGTAACATGTAGGTCTTAAAATATTCGAAACACAGTATATCAGAAAAAAAATGAAGTCTATTTCGATATTGAGTACAAAATCTGTAAAATTATAATCCATGTAATTTTCTAGATTTTAGCACTACAGGTGTCTGAAAACAAATGTGAGGCACTGTAATTGCTAAAAGCAACATTTAGATAGCTGGGAAAGGGAATCTAGCATGTAAAAATGAATATAGTTTTAAACTGGAAGATAAGTGTATGTACTAAACTGAAACAAGCTAAAGAAGCTTATTGTAAATCCAAAAATGGCAAAAACGGTAGTTGCTAGTATAATAACAAAATGCAAATTGTTTCTTCTTCTGTATAGTTCTTATATGGAAGTTGGCAAAGTAAGTATGGAAAAGTTTAAAGTAATTTCATACAAATTGCTAATTTTTTAATTAATGCTGCAATTGCACGTGGTTGTACACAGGATGTTCTACACTTAAACTAAAACTAATTTCAATAAGGAATTAAAAATAAATTAGAGTAAAACGTTCTGGCAACAGCTTATTACTTTAAATGAGCAACATTGCTACTTTTAAACTGATTACACTTCAAATGTCGCATGTAGGCTAGGTGTGGATTGAAGGATATATTCTGGTGCTTTCCGAAGAAATATTCGTATTCCATTTTTCAAAAAACTGTGAACTATTAAAATTTTTAAGTGCAAAATAAACATTATTAATCGGAAAGGGAAAAACCATTAATCATTTAACTTCTCCATTGAAAGAAGACTCAAAATAAATACCTGAAAAAGCATGCATTGTTTCTAATGTTTTTAAGTTAACTTCTTGACAACAAGAGAAAGAAATCGATAGCAAAGTATTTATAAATACATCTGTAACTGCAATAAATAAAATAATAAAGCAAGAGTTGCAACTTGAAAAAGCTGAAAAGCAGTGTTGAACAGCTTTCCGAGACATGGGGCTCAACGAAAAATGATTTATAGAACCTATGAAAACTATTTAGCAGGAGATAAATGAGAATATATCGGGACTCTGGAAGAATAAGTTTACCTAAATGACTGCAAGAAAAAAGTCTATTATTGGAAACGAAGAGGGGAAAAAAAGTTAGACCTGGTTTGCTTCAATGCAAACAAAGTAAGGAATTTATGATAATCACAGGATTCTCTTACAGTGGGAAATTAAACCTAGGAGGAGGGAAAAAGTTCAAATGAATTAAATTACTATTAAGAGAATTTTTAAGTCTGCTATTTAGAGAAAAAATTATATTTCTTTATCCCAATGACTTTCAAAGATTGAAACTTCATGGATTCAACGGAACAAGCCGTAATTCGAAAATTACCATTGCATTTCTTGAAAAAATTAAAACTGATACAGGTATTGCATATGTCTCTTAAGTCCCCTGACGTTTCGCTTCTGGATTATTGCCTTGTGAATAGCTCTTTCCTAGCTGATACCACTATATTATGGACATTGAAAATTAATGGAAGGTGAATGGAAATTTTACGAAAAGCTCCTCTCTCGTGAAAATATTAATAGTGACTTATATAGTCTAGAAATAAAAATCTATCAGATCAGACGTTGAAAAATATTCGTTACATTCTAAACATTCGTTAAATGTTATATAATAGTTCTAAATATTTAAATAGTTCTAAAAATGTGTGAACATCCTCTATATCTTTTGAAAAGTAACTCAGATTTTACTTAGTTATTAAAGTAAATGAAGTTTTTTCCTTTACTAAAGGCTCATATAAGCAACGTTTTCTTTTTTAGAAACTATAGGGGGTCTCTACAAAAACACTAGATTTAGTATGGCCAATAACACATTTTTAGAAAATGGGAAAATATTTTAACACGCAACAGGTAAATGTTCCAATTTAAGAATGAAGAATAAATGTATGACATGTTTTCTACGACTCGCTGTGCACCAGCGCGTTCTTTGGATGAAATTCGTAGTCCCTGTATCATGTATCTGACTATCTAGATAGCTAATGTCTCGTTCCAGTTCCTCTTTAATTTTTTCTTCTTCCAAGTTTTTTTTTTTTTTTTTTTTTTTTTTTTTTTTTACCTCATTTTGGTTTTTGTTGTATTTTGAAGTTTTTTGGAAGTTGCAATAACATTATTATGCAAAATAGCGGTGTTTTCAAAATGACCGCCTAAATCGAGACCGAGGTTATTTATGTTTGCTCCCGAACATGTATTTTAAGTTTCTTTATCAAACTGCCAATCGTTGTTTCGTTAGGTGCACTTTCAGGTCTAAAACTAGGTGAAGTTTCCTTAAATAGGTGAAAATACTCCCACTCTTGCAATGAGTTTTCCTAATCAAAACTCTGTTCCTTTGTGTAGCGTTCCATGTCGATTAATTTGCGAAATGCACCAGGTAAAATCAAACGCGATATTCTTATATGGGAACACTTACTTGTTGTTTGTATATATATATAAATATTGCCCATTTTCTAAAAATGTATTTTTTCACGCATACTAAATCCAATGGTTTTGTTGGGATATTCTTTAAGTGTTTCGGGAAAATTCGATGTTTAAACTCAGCTCTTTTTTTTTTATTAAAAATCATGCTTTGAAAAATCCATTCAAATTAAACCCATCATTATGCCATCCGAATTTAATATTTTTCTGGTTTAAAGTTTTTCTAGTGTTCGAATACTTGATTCTATTCTATACACTAGAATTGTCTTGTAAATGTTTATTTTAAATAAAATACATAAAATAGTACATAACTCTACAATGATTCTGCAATATCGTACAATACAAAATGTAACAATCGGAACAAAATAAAATACATTCATGATTTGAAACAGATTTAGAACTCGGAGATAATACTGATTCTACATTAATGCAACCTATCAGCAATGATTATATGTTACTGGTTAATGGTTAGGTGAGTTTAAACTTTACAGCAAAGCAAACATTTTTCCTTGTTTACAACTTCTTACTAGCATTTTATCTTCCTTGCCTACAAACAATTATTTTTCTACTTAATTTTTCGTACTTATGTATTATTGCAACCACCTTACTAGAAGTCACCAAATTTTCAGAATGTGCTCAATTTTGGCAACTATACGCATACCAGTCTTCAGGCTACCATGCTTAAAACAATCCTTCGGTCAAGCAAAATCTCCATTTTCCTTTGCTTTCTTTTTGCTGTATTCCGGGTTTCAACAACAAGAGATAAATCGTCTTTGTCTTAATTTGAATTTGAAGACATGCGTTTGTAGAATTTGCAAGCAGTGAAGGAAACTGCAAGAATAGCGATTCTGAGGATAAATATGGCAAAGACAACAATGATTAGATTTGTTTGACAGGTAGCTGATGCGTCATGCCGAGTTTGTGCAATTCTCTAATATTTTTTAAGCGAAAACGGATAGCTGTGTTCATGGGGATAAGAATAGCACAAAGGAATTATAGAAAAAGCATAAGCGTTTTGTTTTTCATGTATCGTATAATATTTCTTTTATATTTAAAATTTGTATTTACAGACATTAAAATAGGTGTTTTTTTTAATATGCTGATAATGTTTGCTAACTTACGATAAACACCAGTAATTTGGGAGCGTTTTTAAAAAAATCGCCGACCGATACCTCATAGGTAAATTTTACCTTTTCATCTTCAAAAAAATCGCCAGATTGCATTGAGGTGGTTGCGTTAATACGTTTAAGTACCAATTTTTTAGCGTTCGTTCTATTCTTAAAAACAACAAATACAGTGATGAAGAATGATACAAGATGAAATGCCTATTCTTTTCTACGTCACAGACATGTATTCTTGCCATCAGAATTATGGAAAAAAAAGTATACTGTTTTTCGTTTTACACTACAATTTTCGGAAAATATGGATACCGTGATAAAATGTGATAAAAATGGCTTCATATAAATCCACTGATTCCATAAGTCCATTTCATAGCAGTGAGCCACTGATTAAATTTCGCTCTTCGTATAAATTTTCGTGTTAAACTGAAAATAAAATAATTTTGTAAAAAATGGAAAATTTATTCACCATTGAAGTTGATTTCGCAGTTATTGCTGTTTAAAAATGACTTAATAAATGATCATGCTAAAATCATTGTCACGAAGGTGTCTTAACTCCTGTTTCCCAGATTCTGACTAAACCGTGCCTGTGAATTATAACGCTTATGATTCATGATGACTTATATATTTACGATAATTTGGGGTTAAAAGGAGCTCTCTGGGAGAGCTTTCTCTACTGCACTGCTGTTTGGTCATTTGATGTTGCCAGTTCATCATCACTTATGATTTTCTTTTTCAATTCTGGAGAACGAGGTGGTGTATAAGAGTCCGATAGCTCGCTGTCTGAAGATTTTCCAGGAAAAGCTCCGCCACCAACCACGAACGAAGTAACGCTGCAATTAAGAAAGTCGTCTGCGACGTTTTCTGATGATATTCCAGAGTCACGAGAGGCAGAAGTGGTGGTGTTCGTTTTGGAAGCATCTAGTGACGACTCTAGGAGGTCCATGCTGGTGCCTGGTGCACATGCAGCTGACGCAACAGGTGTCAGAGGCTTCTCGAAAATGAAATTGGGTATGTCCAACAGGCTTTTGACCTGTAAAAAGAAAATCGTATGAAATTTGACAAATAGAATAATTTGGCAAATTGCATTAGGCGCCGGTTAATCTGTTCGGGGTTAATGTTATCGAAATTCCAAATCCTGATCTATATATGAAAACATGGCAAATGTATCCCTTACTAAGACCAACAATTCGGTTAATAGGATCAAAACATAGAACGAATTTTTTAAATTGAAGTAGTGTCGCTAAATATAAAACTCGACAGATATGATCGAAATAGAACACAAAAATGATTAAGTAACACAGCTATGTCGTCAAATTAAGGATAATGTTGCCAAGCATCTTGATTTGATCTAAGGCAGCATTAAAGGGTCTTGGAACCACGTCTCAGAAAAGAGAAGAACTGTTTTAAACATGTCAAACTTTAAATAAATGATAAAATAAAAAATGATTATGAATCAAAAACGTCTCCAACTAACATGAAATGGGAGAGATTTGCTGCCAGGCAAGATGCTTGGCAGGAATTTCAAGCTGCAGGTTAGGTAAGTTCTTGGCTGCCCCGCCCCGTGAGCTAAGCGCACTACGGGTCTACTCCTCCTTTGGGCACTTCGTGGAGGTTCATCCTCCACTATTACCCTTCCAGGGAAGCAGCGCACCACCTGGATAAGACACCAGGCAGCACTGGTCGTCAATTGATCCTGCCCGTCGCAGTGGGCCGTTACCTAACAAACCGGGGGAGAACAAGCCCCCCCCGGCTACGGTTCCACACCGCTCAGAACATGCCAGACCCCGAGGCCGGCCAATAAGTGACCTTTCCCAGGGTCTTCAGAAACACCAAGTTTATAAATTTTATATCTCCGTGGCCGAGACTGCCTAGGTACAGATCCTAACCAGTAGCTTCGCAGAGTTCTGGTTATGTAAAAGAAGATATCTTCCTTTCACTTTCTGAAACAAATCCAGACATACCATTGATAAATTTACTGAAGAAGATGACAAAAAAATTCGGCGAATTTCTTACAAATGATAAAATGAGGGACACTCTATGAGTATTAAGATTATGAGTAGAGCATCGGACAAACAACATCCAGAAACATTCTGAAATGTTCAAAAGATGTATACTTATGTGTAAACAGCTAAATATTAATAACATCTTTCTTAACTAAGCTGCTGTTAACTATTTGTATGTTTCTAGTTATATACAATTAGTTAAATTCCACATATTTTAAAGCATATTTTTTCTTATCACTTAATGCTATTATTTGGTTAATGCTATCAAATTAGTTATACACAAACGTGATCACATTAAGCTGCATCTACTGTAAGAAGTTTATGAAGGTATTTTTGAGCATCTAAAGCGGTTACCACAAGTTTCTTGGAATTCAAATTAAGGAATGTCTGCACCGTGCCAATAAAAATCCTTACCCAGCCTTTATTTTTCTCAACCGTTGTTCGTAGACATATACTTCCAATTAGAAAACGTTTCAAATGATGCTAAGATTCATGTTTTGTCAGCTAAAATTTAAAAAAAAAAAAAAAAAAATCTGAAATGTTTCAGATTTTAAATTACGTCCAAAGGGGCGTTTTTTAACATTTTGTGTGTTACCTTTCTTTATTAAATATCATGTTCCTCGCACTTAAACCATAAGATCCAGTGCAACAGCAATATCGCAAAATAGTTTTAAAACGAGCATATCTTTAGAATTTCCGATACAGAGATTCACGCGCTGGAGATAAAAATGTTTTTTTCTGCACAACGTTGCCATTGCTCGCTTTGAAATCCTTGAGTTTGTTAATCAAAAAATTCGTCAAAGTTTTTAAAAAATAGGAAATCGATCATAAAAAAATTTTCAAATTTGGTCTTCCACATGCTCATATTCGTTGGAGGATTACGTTATTCAAAATTCGATGACTCTATGTACCGTTATTTTATGACAATGGGAGAAATATACATACATTTACGCAGATTTTCATTATTTATTTTCTTCAAATATAATGCAGGAATCTAACATTTTATGGCAACAGTTTGAAAAGTGAACCGACATTTATCCGTCCGACGCAAAATGCCAAAACGAAACTAATAGTCGTTCGGGATTCAAATCCCTTTGGACTAAAAAATTTGTAAAAATTACGAAGTCTAACTCTTTATATGTTCTTCTGGTCCCTGTACTTACACTTAGGAAAATATTATATTCGTTATAAAACATAAAGCGTAGAAATTTTGTTTCCCGAGTGATAAAAACTGACAGGGATATTTATTTTGAAAATTACTGATTTTTGACTTCACATTTGTTTGCATTGAAGGATCAGTTAATAAATAAATTAGAATAACTTGATTTTAATTTTTCTTACCTTAAATTCCATTCAATGATATATTTTTGCGATTTACTTGTCTCTTTAATTTATAATTATGCAATATTTATTGTGCGAAAGGATTTTCACTCAAGTCTTAAGTTTTCAAAGTTTAAAAACAGGTCCTTAATATTCTCATGAAATTTCATTACTTTAAATCATAATCTGGTAATCGTAAAAAGTTTGTTTAATTTTTAATTAATGTAAATAGTATTATGTTACCAGTAGCAATATCTAATCACCAATTAATCACCACCAATAGTGAATCCTGCAAGTACCTTCAGAACATGAATTTTGAGATTCTGTGAATAAGATAATTTTGGAAAAAAAAAAAAAAAAAAACTTCTGTGGACACCTCGTGACTTTCTTGTACGGCCTATTAAACTATACACATTATGCACTTCATTTAAATTTATTTTCTCGAATTATTCTAGTTTAATAAACCGATCCCTCGAGGCAAATTGAAAATGACATCGAAAATTCCAGATTCTGAAATTAAATATCCCGCTCGATTAAGTTAAATTAAGTTAGATTTCGTTATTTGGCCAAAATTAAGTTTTTTAAAAAAAATTTGATATTGCCAGAAATGAAAATTTACGTTATTTAAATCTCTTCTATAATTGAAAGTGTATGACTGCGACCAACATTGCAAAAATAAAGGATTTTTGGATTCTAATAAAAAAGTGAGGTACACAACTAGATGTTATAATAGTCCCACATACAAAATTCAACGTTGTGGAGCTGAGTTATGCCCGATATTTACATAGGTACGTACGTATAGACGTCCCGAAAAAAAATTTATTTGAATCCATCTCACAATCCGTTTTGGTATAAAGAGTGCTTTATTCTGTCCGTACGTACAGGCGTCATGCAAACAAGTAGTCAAAATGGATTCGAAAAAGGTCAAAATAGATATTTCCATTAAAATATGATACCCTAATTTTTTCGAGATAATAATGCTTCGTACAAGAAAGAAAATGTACTAACGAATATTTTTCACAATAATATGAATAAGAACTGCTCATCACTTTACCTCTTAATATTATAAACTATATTTTACTTTTAGTTGCGTACAAATACAAGCATTTCGCTCTTCCATGTGTGTACGGCTCCTAAATGGCTCCCGATCTCCGAATTTAATATCAAATATCTCGGGCAAATTTCGTCGTATGAGAGTCAAAAGCTGTTTTTCATAATGCGAGGAACATGCATACCGTGAGTGAAAAAAGTATTGTGTTAGAACAAGCTTTCAAATAATTTTTGAAAGAATAGTTAAATACTTAATTTAAACAAAATGCTTTTTCTGCATGCCATCTCTTAGAGCTGAATGAAATCGAAAAATTTTTAATTAATTAAAAATGAAGTTAAATAAATATTAAATTTTACACTTTTCAGGCACAAAGAAAGTAATGGTCAAAAACGTACAGAAGGTCTAGACTAAAGACAAGCATTATAATTACGTGGGCGCATTCACATAATGTCTACAATCCGCAGTTTGGATTATGCTTCAGATCGTCGTCATGGTAAACTTTAATGTTATTTGTTGTGCGCTGTACTTCAAATCTTATTTTAAAACATTCAACTACATAAAATTATCAATTTAATCATCAATAAAATATAGAATTTAAACTCTGAAGGCACTCATATAGCCCAAGATCATATGGTTTTCTTCACTATGTTTTGTGTGTGTGTGTGATTATGGCAAAGCCTCGAGGGCTATCTGCCTAAGAGGAGGGATGCCTTCGTGGAGGACTTTCTAAGGGAAACTGGCTCGTATACACGTTACACATGGGGAAAACCACGAAAACGCCCATGCAGCCAGCCCGTTCGCGGGATTCGAACCTCGGACCGAACTACCAGTGTTCAGCGACTTTTACCGCTCGGCCGCTGGTGAGCCGCTCACTATGTTTTAATGATGGAGTAAGATCCATCATTTAAGCTCACTATTGGGTTTGCGCTACACCATTTGCTTCTAATCACTTCCAAAATATTAAATTTACTTTCATCTACAAATACAGTTGGATTCCAAGAATTTTGAGGGCTTTTAATACAGATTTTGATGAATTGTAATCATGGCCTTCAATTCGCTTTACTGAGAAATGGTTTTCTTCTAGCTATTCGGCCATAAAAGTTACATTTAAATTCTTTCTATCCCTTTTCTGGATTACTAGATTTCTTAACATTTGTTGAACTTTCAAAGTCAATCTGACTTCACTGGTTTTAGTGTTATAAAAACATTTATAGCAATCCACTTTTTTTTTTTTTTTTTTTTTTTTTTGCATTCGATGAATCTCCTTGGATGCCTTGTTCGTTGTTTGCTTTCAAGCAGATTTGTTTTACTGTATTCCAAAATTAAACTTAAAAGTATATTTTACTTTAAAGGCAATAATTCAGCTATTTTCTTCTCTGATTTTTCACAATTCCAATGAAAAATTTTTAATTTGTTCGCAATAAAAGAAAGATGTATGCTGCTATGGTACTTTTAAACTTTCTGTGATTTTACTGTTAAATTATATATAGCGCAAGTGCGAAGAAAACGATGCTTAATAATAAAGCTAAAAAGACAAAAAAAAGGGGGTGAGTCCTGAGTGCAACAGCAGAATAGCAGACTGCGAGTTCAGCGCAGACCCGGATCGAATAGGGCCCAGTTGGAATTTTTTTTTTTTTTTTTTTTTTGATGGTAACG